TCTTTACTGAATCTCTAAAAAAAAGTTTCCCCTCTTGTGCCGAACTTCTGAAGAATTCAAAAACGTCCTCACCAAAGTTGCCGGGCCCCTCTTATGCCGCTGCAGGGCCCCCACTTGAGCCCGGGCAACGGGAATTAGTTCCGGCTAACCCTCCCTCTTGTCGGCCCTGATTATATACGGGAAAATTCTGACATAAATTTAAAAGCAAATACATAAAATTATTTTCCCCTAATATCAACATATTTAACTAAATTTAGATTCTAAAAATCTCATTTTTACATCGTATGCAACCTTCAAGCCATTAACTGTTGGATTAAATACTCAAATTACATCTTTCTAGATTTAAATATCTCCGAGATTTTACAGATTAATTTTTTTTAACTATTGAAATGCGAGACATTTTCGACCAGTCCAGCCATGCTCCAATAGCTTTAAGTTCTTCTCTGCCTTTTTTGGGCCTTTTACGCACTTGTCTGATTACCAAAATTATTCAAAGAAAAAAGTCAACCGTCGAAACCTAACTTAATGTTACGACTATGCTAAAGGAGACGACTATGGCCAACGCCGATCAACAGTCTGGAACACACTAGAATGTTCGATGAATGATAAGAAATTGCAATTTTTGGCGAGAGCCTTTAACTTTTTATATAAATAGGCTGGGTTGCCGAGACAGTCAGTTAATGATAGATTTAACTAGAACTGTGGCCTCCCCCACCTCGACCTTTTCAGATCTATTGTGGATATTCTTTATTCCTTGTTTAGAGTACCTTGTCTAGTTCGGTCTTTCGTAGTAGACTCCATAGACTAAGAAGTAGTTATCCGGCGTAGCTAGTTGCCCTTGGTTTTTCTTCTCCACGTGTAAAAAATCTCAGTCTTGGTAAACCTTCGAAATAGTACAATACGTGTTCTGCAGTTTCCTCCTCTTCCTGACAGAATCGGCATAAGGTCTCTTCTGTCAGACCGACAATATACATATGTTTGGTAACCAACAATGCCCTATTAATAAACCTACTAGTATTTTTTTATTATGGCTTAGTATATGCTCGGTGAGTCTAGGTGATGGTCCTTTTAAGAGCTCTTTGGCCTGTCTCTGCCCTGATGAATTGTTCCACCATTACTCAGATGTTTTAAACATACACTGCTTTGTGCATGTTCTGATAGCTGTCTTTGTGACACCACCGAAGGGTTCTGGGCCAATAAGAGACTTCAATGCTTCTTCTCGGGCTAATAAATCAGCTTCTTCGTTGCCCTTATGTCCTCTGTGGCCTGGTACCCAGGCTAAGGTTAGTCTGCTTTCACTAGCCGGCTCTGTTAGGGCTTCCAAACAGTCCCACACAAGCTTCGAGTGTACCTGCAGAGAACTGAGTGCTTTTATCGTTGCTGGAGTGTCTCAAAATATGACAATGGTTTTTCCACTTAGCTTATGTCTTAATACCTCCTTTGCTCAGTGATGTATTGCTTCTATTTCTGCCTGAAATACTGTCGCGTTAGCTCAGTGAGATACTTGTCTTTGGCAGTTAAAGATAAGAGATCTATCAGTACACAATAATATTTTTTATATAAATTAGTAACTAAATAAGCATATTTAGTGTAAATAAATTATAAATTAACAAACTGTTTAAAATAAACTAATATTAGTAGTCTTTATTGGGTATCAAACATGGAATTATGGTTGGGAGAAATAAATTACTGTTATTTAAAATATGCATATATTTTGCAAAAATGGTTCTTAAAACTTATTAAAAATTAAAATAAGATCTAATTGTTCTGATTCCCTATACTTGCAAATTTAGGATGAAAAATAAATATAATATAATTCACTTATTTCTACAAAATTCGACATCAACAAGGTATTATTATGATTCCTTGCAGAAAAAACTTTAGGCCAAAGAACCGCTAAATATTTAGACCCAGACTTTATTATTTATTACTATAGTTATAATCTAAAAAGTATTGTAGACAATATATTAACTTTTCCCTCCTTACTATAGGAGAACGGTAGGTATAGAAACACAATGACATTGAATAGAGAGAAATATAAGAATGGTTAAACCAATTACTCTCTTAATCGCCCTAACGTCCAAATATAATTAAGTGTCCCATCTTTGTTTTGCCTGTTGCGTCTTGTTAATATATTTTTTTTTATCGGGTGGAAATCCTTTACGGACACCAGGTACAGATTCCTCCTTTTCTTGGTAGTGTGGTGGACTCCTAGCTCAAGTGTGCAAGTCCAGAATACCCCACTAAAACCACCTCCTGCTCTCTACAGGTACCGGAACTGTCATCCAGAGGATATTACTTCACTTACTACCTGCGCAGCGGTCTTCTATTTTCAGTTCTGTCTTGCTTTGTACTCCCATTCTTCCTTCTCTTTCTTGGTCATTAACCTCGCTATTATTATAGAGCCAGACTGCCATTTCTCCTTACTCTCTATGAGCTTTTCTATATTATTCTCCGGAGTTAGCGGAGGTTCTAGAATAGATTCAAGTGCCCTTCTTTCCTGCTGCTATCTGAGGCACTGAAAAAATATGTGCTCCACCGAGTCTACTTCTTGACAGTATCTACACCGATTATTATTTGAGATTTTAAACCTGAAAGTGTATTCGCCGAAAAAACCATGTCCTGACAGAAATTGCGAAATACAGTAGTTTGTGTTTCTGTATGAACATTTTAGCCACTGATCAATATCAGGAATAAGTCTTTTTGTCCAGGATGCCTTCAGGTTATTTGCTTCCCATTTCTCCTGCCACATTCTTATGCGTTCTATTCTTTCTATGTTCCTTATCATACTTGTTGGTTCTCTGTTTTGTAGTCTTCCCCTTTCATTCATCAGAATATCAATAGGAATGCATCCTGTGATGACCTGTACAGATACGGTGCAATAAGCCGACGCTACCCTAAGTATCATTTATCGCTGTACTTTAAGAAGTAGGCCCCTGTACTTTTCTGCATACATTGCTCCTTTCCAAATCGGTGCTGCGTACAGCACTGCAGATTGCATGACGCCATTTAACAACGCCCTCTTCAATCCACTAGGTCCATCCACGTTACGCATTATTTTAGATAGTGCTGCTATCTGTTTTTCGTCTCTAATTGCAGCATTTTTGACATGTGTTCCAAAAGTCAGTCGTTCATCTAGCCACACTCCCGAATATTTGACTTCCTTGCTTATGGTGATTATTCTGCCTCCTAGTTGAAATCCTATTCCCATCCTGTTTCTTTTTCCCCTGACTACGACCGCTTCTGTTTTCTCTGGGGCCAAAGTAAGATTGTTATTGGTCATCCATTCTTCAATACGTCTTAGCGCAGAGTTTACAATATGTGTGAGATCGTCTTTTGAGTTTGCGTCTACCACCAGAGCAAGGTCATCTGCATATGCCACTGTCCTAGAGCCTTCCCCTAACTCCAGTCTGAGTACTCCGTCGTAAAGAACATTCCACAAAATTGGGCCCAAGACCGACCCCTGTGGGACTCCTTGTGTGGCTTGCAGCTGCTGCCGTCCTATTTTTAGAGTTCTATCACCTAGATAACTTGCTATGATGTTGATGATGTACTGACTAATAACAATCTCTTGAAGCTTCTCGATTATTTTACGCCATACGGCTGTGTTAAATGCGTTTTTAAGATCAATTAGGATGATGGAGCTTCAGGAATAACTCAAATCTGCTGCACATGCAGTAACTTGGTTAATGACATCGACCGTCGATCTCTTTTTCCTAAAGCCGTATTGGGTACCTGAAAGCCCTTGTTTCTCCTCCAGTTCATCTTCCAGTCTCTTCCTGATGAGAAATAACTTGCCAAATACATCCAGAAGGCAGATGGGCCTAAAGTTACTCTGCTCCACCCCATTGTTCCCCTTTGGAATTAGTATAACCGATGATTTTTTCTATTTATTTGGGAAACTCTGATTAGATAATAATCCATTATACATATCTAAAATATTTAATGGTATCTCTTCTATCGTCATTTTAACCGATTCTACCACTATTCCATCTGACCCTGGTACCTTACCAACTTTTAGTCTTTGCCCTGCTTCCTTTAGTTCCGTTATCGTAAAGTATGGTGCATTACATGCCTTCTGCTTTGGCAAGTAGTCTTTGATTTTCGGAAAAAGCCTGATTGGAATTTGGGGTTTTTCGGAATCTGCTATTTCATAAGGTGTGCTAATATGCTTTAGCCGTCCCGATACAATTTTGTACCTCTTTCCCCAGATATCTCCTTCCAATTGTGCACACAATTCTTTCCAACATTTTCTTTTAGTCCGTCTTATTTCCCTACAAAATTCTTTCCTGGTGTTCTTGTAACTTGATTCTAGTTGGTTCACTGTTTCTATCCCTTCCCTCTTCCGTGCTTTTATCAATCGTCTTCTGAATTCATTACATTCTGTTCCCTTGCCTTGTAAATTTTCATTCCACCAATATGCTTGATAACTCCGGCATCTACCGCTTGGTCTTACAGTTGCAATTTCTTAGGCGTTTTTGACTTTTATTACTAGCGATTCTGGATCGTCTCTTTGATTGCAGCATGTTATTTGCAATGCCGTTGCAAGTAAGTTTTTGTCTAGCACTCTTTTTCCTTTCCATTGCATTGGGGGTTTTTTCTCCTCTTTTGTACCTCGAAGAAAATGTACTGGTGGAGACTGTCACTTCATAGAGAACTTTTCCTTGTTAACACAATGTATACAAATAATTACTCACTACTTCTGTGTTGGCAGGAATTCAAAATGCCTAATACAAAATGGCGTACAAAAATTTTAAATTGCTTTTAAACGTGAATGTTTTTTCGGGCTGCTGACTTGAAATTTGATGACATAAATTCATAATTCAAAATGGCTGATACAAAATGGCGGACAAAAATGATAAATGTTTCTCAAACTTGCACAAAACTTGTTATTAAATGGTTTTTTGGATTGCTGACTCAAAATGTGTTGTCAGTAATTCACCAATTTTATTTAAATATTAAATTTAGTCACTATTATTTACTCAACTTATTTGTTTCAGTTACTGAAATCCAGTGCACGTTCGCTTTAGGCAACAGTATCGGAACCAGGGATTCCATCATAGCAAAACTAAAGAAACCGGACGGATTCAAAGGGCATCCGCTATTCGCTGACGATCGAGGAGTGGACGCAGAAACGGATGCATCCTGTCAAATCAGGCCTGATCTCAACGATGCCACAGGAATGAAATATAATTTGAAGATTTTGGATTTCAGTAGGTGTGGGGTGCTAAAGAGGAACGTAAGTCTTACATTGTTTACAAGTGTATATCTATAAATCAAGTATCTATAATTTAAGTATTTATAAGTCAAGTATCTATAAGTCAAATATACCTATAAAACGAGTATCTATATTTCAAGTACCAATAGGTTAAGTTTTAGTCAAGTTTGATTCATTCTTTTAATTTTTTTTACAAACATTATTTAGAGAAAATTATGTTCTACTCTTTTCTTTTATTTTGTTGCCCTAGACATCAAAAAAGCCACTTGCTAGTAGTACTATTGTGGTACATATTCCTATATTATTTATTTATTTTTTTTTCAGGGATTCGTCCATGTCAGGGTGTGGTTCCCGCAGTTTCCGGGTGTGGTGATGCAATCGGACCAAGAGCTGATAATTATGTGCAAACCTCCCGAACCCACGGTCATTGAAAATAAAGCAGCGGGGTTCGCTGGTAGCTTGTAAGTACCATTTAACTTTTTTAAGTATATGTCTGTTATGGTATGGCATTTATCGAGTCAGCAGGGTCAGAGATCAAAGGGGATACGATTTAACTTAATTTATAATATTGGTTGTTTACTTAAATGGAGGCGTATTTTTAAAATCAGTAGATTGCGGTTTGGTTTCAGCCTTATAAATTATCGTAATACGACTGTTTTTATGTACCGGTTTTACTAAATTCGGATATTATTAAGCTTCAAAAACAATAAATTCCTTGTACTCGTTTTGTAACAGGTCTTCGTTAATTTAACTATATTAATGAAAAGATTATAGAAATTGGTTGAGGTCTTTAAGTTTTCTAAATATAACACATAGAGTGTTAACAAAAAATAATTCCCAAAGGTTTACGTTTTTTCAAATTCAAAATAATAGAGATACACGAAACAAACAATTGAAGAGTAGAAGTATCAAAGGCACTAATTGCCAAAATCAAAATTTTCTTGTTATGTGCTTAAAATTGTTGTAAATATCATCACCAATATATCCATAAAGATTCTAAGTGCCATATAATTTCCAAGCTTATGTGGATTAAAATAAGGTGGCCCGTAAAAGGTAAAAAAGATACGCTTAATAAAATTGTTTTCTTAATTATCCTATATTTGTGAATTTGGTACTTGGTGCCTTTGGTACCTTCACTCTTCAATTAGTTAGTACTCCGATTTAATTTTGCAATGTTTTTGCGTAATTTTTCATAATATGCTGCTTGTAAAATCTATAACAGCATTCTCCAGAATATAAAAACTACACTTCCAGTATAGGCAATAATAATAATAAAGATAATTGTTGTCTATACTGGGCTACACCGTTTACAATTATTTTAAAAAGAAAATCTAACTTTCCTGTCTAGTTACTACAGGCTTTTTCCGGTTATTTTGTACAAACTGTTGTATCACCCCTGTAAATGTTGGGAGGATGAACTAAATACATACAATTTCCACACACATCTTACCGAAACATTTTTTATAATATATTCATGCCAACGAAAAATAATATTTTTACACTTTACCTCAAATTTTTCCATTACGGTCCATTTTAGAGAAATCATATATAGAGAATGATATCTCAAACAACTTTCACGTGAAGAATTTTCTTCTAAAATCATAAATAACAGCAATATTCCTTAAAGTAAAAAAACGACACCCTATAAAGTACCCCAGCAGTTCGACTGCAACTCACAGCAGGATGGATTAAAGTTGAAGTTTGAAACTTGGTGTTTTTCTATTTATTTATTATTAAATCTTGAATACGGTTCATTTTAGAAAAATTATATATTGGACAAAAATTATATAGAACATCACAAGCAACTTTTATTTAAAGAATTTGATAATGTACAGGGCTTTTCATTATAATTTGATCGCTATTTCTTTTCATTATTATTGCAAACACAAAAAAAAGTTTTAAGTAAAAGCTATGTTCTATCTGTACCGACTAAAAATGTAATAACAGGCTGAATTGTATATACAGAACGACTCCAACAAAATATAATTTAATTTTTTTAATGGGACACCCTATATATTTTTGCCATTTTAAGTAGACTTGCGTTTCCTGATAACAAATATATATTTTAATTATATAGTGACTTATTGCACTATGAAAGCATAACACATAGATAGCTATGAAAATCATGTTTCCAAGTGAAACCGTTGTTTGTTTATTAGAAGTTGTCAATTGATTGCTTGTAATGGGTTTTACTGTGGTCGAAAAAGTTGAGGTAAAACAACAAAGCTTTTACTTGAAACTTTTTTTGAGTTCACAAGAATTATGAAAATACGTAGTGGTCAAAATATAATGAAAAACCCTGTACAAAAACGAGTCCTTATAAAGTACCCCCCGAGATGCTCCGACTATGCCCAAAATCTAATCAACTCGCCTATTATTTCCTTATCTGTTTACAGACAGGAAAGTAAACATTCAATTGTATGTTCATTACCTTCCCAAATCGTCTTTATAGATAAATATAGACTCAGCAATTCATTTTGTGGTTCATATGCTTTCCTGAATTTTGATTTTCATTCTAATACATGTATATACAGGGTTTTCGATAAGTACGGTGCATAACTTCAGAAGCGTATTCTGGAGCTAAAATAAGGGTATTTTTGTCATATACACTATGTCTCAAAAATGCTTCGTTACGAAAATACAGGGTGTGAAAGTTTTATAAAAAAAATACAATTTTTTAAATATTTCCAAAACCACTAAGTTTTTGCAGCTTTTGAGAGTTAGCAACGTTTCGTGTTTTACTGTAAACACAGTGGCTTTCGTTTAACCAGTGGCTTGCGGACAAGGTAATAGCTGAAAAATATGGAAGGAAAAACGTGTTACGCCGCTGTTCTTTTTCAATATTTAGTTTTTTGATTATTCGATTTGGAAGAAAAAAGGTCCCTTGACTTTTTTCATGAATAATTACAGAGCCATTTTTATTTTTTTTATTATTTATCTACAAATAATAATCATATAAATAATCACTTATAACAAAGAATCAAAGCAAATGTTGAAAATGGCCACCTTCTGATAAAACGCACGATTCCAATCGTCTCCTCATTGATTGTCTTACTCTTTCAAAAACTCCTGGAGTATTTCTTATGGTATTACACCCTTGAATTATTCGATTTATTAAATCATTTTCATTTAATACAGGTGTCTCATACACGAGTGATTTAGGGTGGCCCTATAAATAAAAGTCCAAGGGATTAAGATCGGCACTGCGAGGTGGCCAAGCTTGAGGAACTCCGCGTCCAATCCGAGCAAGAAGGCTAAAATGGGCTGGTGCACCATCGTGCATAAACTATAAATCTCAACTTACTTACAGAGGCACTTCTTCTAACAGACCATTTAGTTCTTCGTGTAAAAACTGAATATACGAATCACCATTCAGTCGAGGGGGTAAAAAGTGTGGTCCAATAAGATGGTCATCAATAATCCCTATCCATACATTTGATGAAAATGTTTGCTGAAAGCGACCTTCTCTTATTGCATGAGGATTCTCCTCAGCCCATAAATGTTCATTATGAAAATTAATAATTGCTTCTCGCGAAAAAGTTGCCTCATCAGTAAATAAAATTAGGGTCAAAAAATTGTAGATATGAGCAACTTTATGGAGTAATCACCTACTAAAATTTAGCCTTGGCTGAAAGTCGCCGTGCAGCAGAGCTTTTACTCGTTGTATGTGGTATGGGTAAAGCAGAGAAACTTTCAAAACTCTCCAAACAGTATTTGCACTTACTTGAAACTGTTGTGCAATCTTCCTGGTACTAGTTGAAGGATTTTCTTCTATCTCCTGTAGTATAGCTTCTTCTAGCTCAGGCGTTGCTACTGTTCGTGGTCTACCAGGAACTACCCGATTACGCTCAAAACTACTGGTTTCATTCAATCTGCCATGTATCTTTCTAAATGTTTTAGCACATGGCGTTACCCTATTCGGATAACGTTGCTGATAAATTCTTCTAGCTTCCGCTGAATTCCCATTTCAGCGTTAGTAAAGTTATTCATTTTAATGTCTGACATACAAATAAATAAACAATTGGTGACTAGTAAAATGTCAAATAAGTACCTGGGAAAAATTGAAGATAACTCCCGCTCCTACTGCTTTTTCAGTTTTGGAGCCGTCCGTGTACAACGCATAGTCTGCCTGGGATAGGGTTTTTCCCCTCTGCTCCATGCGTCTCTCTCCGGAATGAGGACGCTGTATGGCTTTTCTATGTGCTGTCGGGGAACTAGCGAGTCCATGCCGAGGATGAGGTGTGTATTAATTTCACTCAGCCCCGTCTTGTTCCATCGCAGTTCTTCGTAACATTGACTACCCACTTCCAGGAGCCTGTAGGAGACCATTCTGGCCTCCCTTTCCAGCAGAATGTGGAGAGGGGTTAGGTCCAGCATGGTCTCCATGGCTCCCGTAGGTGTAGTTGACATTGATCCAGTTATGGCGAGGCACACAAGCCGCTGTATTCCAGCCAGCTTTGCTCTGGCAGTCCGTTGGAATCCCTTGTCTCACCAGACGACAGAGCCGTATGTAACCATGAGTTTTACCACTGTTTGGTTTGAGGACTGATCCCCCATGATTTACCGCATATCCTTCTAAGAGTCCAGACGGATAATCTGGCTTTATTGATGGTTTTATCCAATTGGGGGTTCCTGGTGAGTTTCTTATCTAGGGTGATTCCCAGATATTTCACCTCCTTCGCAAAAGGAATGGTTTCCCCAGCCAAGGTAGGTTGTCGAAGCTTGTCGAGCTTTCTTCTCTTGGTGAAGGGGACAATAACGGTTTTGCGGGGGTTAACAGACATCTGCTCCCTCTCGCACCATCTGTTGATCGTATTAAGGACTTGTTGAAGGATGTTGGAGATTACCTCTTCGAACTTTCCCCTAATTATGATTACCAGATCGTCCACATAGCATTGGAAATCCACCCTCTGTCGGGAAAGATCGTCTAGCAGGTTATCCACCAGAATAGTCCACAGTAGGGGTGAAATTACGCCGCCTTGTGGACATCCTCTGGCAGGCCTGAAAGTTGCAGTCTCTCCCTGCAGTGATGTTTCGCTTTGCCAGCATGCTTTTGATCCAATTACAGGTTAGTTTGTCGATTCCTCTTCTTTCAATAGAAGAGAACAAAGACTGAGGAAGGGCGTTGTTGAACGCGCCGTCTATATCTAGGAAGGCACCTAGCGCAATCTCCCCTTGATTTAGGGAATGGCCGATTTTGCCTACTAGATTGTGCAGGGCATGATCTGTCGATTTGCCTGCTTGGTAGGCATATTGATAGGAGTTTAACGGGTTTGCCCGAAGACCTCCTTCTCTAATATAACTATCTAGAATCCTCTCTGGTGTTTTTAGAAGAAAGGATGTTAGGCATATTGGACGATAAGAGTTTGTTAGGGAGGTATCTACTCCACCAGCCTTGTGTATATACACGACTTTCGCCAACGTCCATCCTAGTGGGATATAGCTCCACGCCAGGCTTACT